TGGAGAGAAGCAGCGGCTAATGTCTGCACATTAAGCCAGTGCTAAAGGCAGAGGCACAAGGCCCAGTGGGAACGTTGGCAACCCAACTGTCACCTGAGAGCAGGCAGGCTGCCATACAGAGAGGCGGGAGCAGAGCCATCCCTGAACGCCGAAGGGCCACCGGTTCCCTTGGGCTCCTCCTCTGCTTGAAATGTCCCCAGCCCATCATCGTAAGAACTGGCAGCTTTCCCCCTCTTCCCTCCCCGTCTCCTTTTCCTTTATTGCCGTGTGTTTTAGATTGCACACCTGCAAGGCCGAGATGGTCTTGTTTCCTTGGTTTTGTGCAGGCTGCTCGGGGAGACCTTGGCTGAAGAGAGGGTAAACATGCTTTAACTAAAGGAGGAAGCATTTGCAGATCTTGTAGAAAGAAATAATCGCGTTTAAATAATGCAGGGTTGTGGTAGGGTGAGGAGAAGCTGCAATGAGCTGCGCTTTGGGCTAGGAAGGGCCTCTGGTGGAGGCGCCCGCGAGGGATCTGTGCGGTCAGGTCACACGTGCTTCCTGTGGGACGTTGGAGCAAGGACCTGATAAGCCGTCAGCCTGCCCCTAATCTAAATGTTTGGGCCGGTGACGTGCGGAGGCCAGGGCACCCTGCCTCTGCCCATGTGCCTGGCATCGTGGCTTCCCCAGCAGGCAGCCAGCAAAGAGACACTCCTCGGATCACGCCTTTCGGGGTGGGGGTGGAATTGGAAAGACGGGGTGGATCTGCCTTCATGGCCGGACAAGCCCACCTCTCCCTGTGTCTTGGCAGGCTTCACTGGCCTCCCAGCAGGGGGGCCCAGCTGGTGGTTTGAGTGGCGGCCAAGAGGTATCTCCCCCCCTCGCCCCCACCCAAGGGGAATCCAAGCAAGCTTCCCTCTGGTGGAGAAACACACTGCTGAAATAGAGGGCTGCTTGTGGGCAGGAAGGGGGAGCACGAGGCGCCATCAGGTGTGGCTGATGCTTCCCCGCGTCGAGGCCTGGTTACTTCACTGGTTTAGCCCCAGAACCCATTTCCAGCATTCCTCACACGCCACGGCAGCGGGAATGCAAGAGAGCCACGCTTCCTCAAGGGAAGGCCACGGTGCTGTTCGTGACCAGAGGCCTGAAATCCAAGGGACAGAGGCTGAATTGTGCCACCTCCTACCAATACTATGCCAACAATTATGGAAAAGAAAACAATGGCCCACAGTGGAACAATGGAGATTGTTCAGCGTACACTGCAGTCCTCAAGACGGAGATGCAAAAGAGTTTAGCGATCAGGGTCTCCGCACTCATTTCTCTGCAAGCAAAGTGGTGCTCCAAGTACCTGTCGTTCTCTTGGTACCCTACCGATCCCAGGAACTCCGTTCCTTCCGAGCGCTTTTGGAGCAGCTGTTCCTCACAGGATTCCTCTTCAAAGGAATCTGTCGTCCCTTCATCTCTTCTGTATATTCTTTTCATCTTCTCTTTGTTTTATCCTGGTCAGATGGTATGTTCCCCCACTGTTCTTTCAGAATTTTTAGCCTAGGGTTGAATTTCCCGTTGTTTTCTTGTTCTTGCTTTTCTTCTTTGGTTGTCCCCTCTGTTTCTTTGTGCCGGCCATTTTCGTGGTTCTTTTTGTCTCTGTGAACGTCTTTGGAAAGTTGCATTGAGGGTCCTGGCCCTATTTCTGTCACCTTTCGCTTTTGCTTCCCACCTGTCTTGAGCCATTGAGAGAGCATCTTCTGTCACCCATCTAGGCTTCTTCTCGCTGTAAGAATGGTCACTTTGCACTCTTCCCTAATACTGTCTCTGGTTTCAATCCACACTTGCTATGATTCACAGAGTCCGGTAATGCAGATTTGTTCTGTCAACTTTAAATTCCTCAAGAACGTTGCTCAGGTTGTACTTTGGCATTCTGCTTCTCTTAGTGATCTGCCCAGTACCTGTCCTTCAGGAGCTTCTCCACCCCGTCGCCCTTTGAGAGCACCTGTCCTAGTTTTGTGTCTTAGCTTTGATTCTTCCACTGGGAGACCGGCTGGTGAGAGAGCTTGGCCTCCCGCGGCTTTGATACTCTTAAACCTCTTCACCCCCTTCAGGTGTGCCTCCAAGAGGGGGTTGTTCCTTGTCACTGGGGTCATAATGGATTACCCCTGAGACTTTCTCGATCTCAAGCTGTCCGGTGCTGATCTGTGGCAAGCTTCAAACCTTCCCTCTTTTACCGGGCCTCGTACTCGTTTCCACCCAGATCCATGGGGCTGGAGCTCAGTGGGTCTGCCACCCCGCCAGGCCAGCGCTGTTGCATCAGTCCGTGCCGGCAAAAGCTGCACCTGTTGCATTCCTGCCTCCCATGCAGCTGCCCAAAGCCAAGGGCCTCCACCAAGAGAGACTGGAAGCCCATCACCCAGAATCAGTTCAAAGGGAGCTACAAAGAACCCGTTTGTTGTTCTTCCCCAGGCAAGCAGGGTATGTGCAAAGAGTTAATTGCACTGGCCCGTTTCTGCAGCTGTTTTAAGTGGCTGTATTTTTACACACACCAGGCAGCGCCTCTCCCCGCACCTCCCGCCCCCTAACAAGACTGTGGTCTGGGATCTTGCCTAAGAAAAAAAACCACGCCTCGCTCTACATCAGGCAAAATTGGGTCTCCAACCGTGGTTGGCTTTTAATTGGCTGCCCTTTTGCCCGTGTTTATTTACCTTGCAATTAGCTAAACCAACTCCTTTCACCAGCTGCCTCGCAGCAAGCCAAGGTACACAATCAGGACAGCTCCCCCTAGGGGCAGGGCCGAATGGGGCAGCGGAGGGATGGAAAAAGCGCCGGGCAGAGGGGGGAGAAATAGATCATTGATGACAAGCGGCCCAAAGCTCTGGGGAGGGACTGTGTGTGCAGGTCTGTTTGTTAGAAGACGTGGAAACGCCCCCCCCCCAAAGCCCCCTCCCGATCTGCAGCGTGCCTCGTCATCCCACAAGCGGGCTCCGTCCTGCCAGCGAAACACACGGCCCTTTCTTCCCGGCCGGGGCACGGTCGAGAGGGGGATGGCGCCCACCCTGCCTGCTCTCCTTTCTCGCAGTCAAAAGATGCCTTCTTGGACCCCAAACACGGGCGGTGTGCTGTTTGAGTAAGCCCCATCTCACATATTCCAACTGGGTAGGAACCCGGTGCCCTCTAGGTGTGTTGAAGTCCGACGCTCGGCACTCCTGAGCTTTGGCCAGGCTGGCTGGGGATGCTGGGGGTGGAGGTCCAAAATATTTGGTGTTCACTGGGTTGGAGAAAATAATCTCGGGTCTGTGTGGAAATGGATATAATTTCTAACCTGGATCGGGGCCCTGAATTCTGGCTTCTCCACCATGGTGCCTTGCAGATGCGTTGGCTGCAACTTCCGTGTTTCCTGGCCAGAGTGGCCAATGATGGGAGATGAAATAGGTTCCTCATTACCTTCCTAGCAGTGTTAATTGGATGCATCTATTCTCAGTTTCATCACCGATCCGAGCACTACCTAAAGAGCATTTCCTTTCCTGCTTTTCCACTAAATAAGCTCTAGGTGGCACTGTGGTGCGGCTGAATAGGGCAAATACACAAGTGGAAAAAGCGTTCTCTCTCATTTTTCTTAAACAAGACTGCATTTTCCCAGTGCTAGAAAAATGAAACTTACTGAACATACTCTCTACACACAGAAGTAAAACCGGAGAGTTCTCTCATCATGTAAAGAACCTGTAAACAAACAGGAGTTGGAATGACAAGCATCCAATAAATGCTTTGTGTAGAAAAGCTGAGGGTGTTCTCTGGATGTGTTGGACTACCACCCCATCATCCCCAGCCAGCCTGGTGAATGACTGGAGTTTAAGTGGACCCCTGATTTCCTTCCCTAACGGGGCTACAAGAGTGCCGCATTTTGTTACAGTTTTGCTGCAGGAATAAGTTCTGACCACTACATAAAGTGCTTTTCCTTTCCTGCTTTTCTGTTATGTGACCTCTAGGTGGCACTGTGGTATAGTAAACTAGTGCAAATGCACTTTTTTTTTTCAAAATGCTCTTGCATTCTCAAATAATACTGCACTTTCCTTACACTTTAAAAAACCTCTCCTCTAAAGGTGATCTTTACATACAGAAGTGAAATTGGAGGGTCATAGTTTCATACGGAGAACCCATAAATAGCCATGAATGGTTCACTGGTACATTGGCCATGCAGGCTGGGGATGATGGGAGTTGTAGCCCAACACATCCAAATAGCAAAGTTGGGGGAGGCGGCTGTATTTTGGTGATGGAGCTGAGAACAAGGGAATGTGTCCATCTCTTTTAGCATTCCAGAGTTGAACCTAGATATTACCTGACCTGAACCTGGGTGAGCTCCACACACCTTAGCTGTTCCCCACTCGTTTCAAAAAGATCTTCCCTCTTTCTTCAAGCTGTACTTGATTTCTTTCACTAACTTACTTAGTATATTTATATTCTATGGCTTATAATAAAACACTCAAAATAAAAGGGCTTACCAGTGGCTTTCTCTTGATCAAACTTGCCACAGTATAGCTGGGGTGCCCATTTTAGAGAAATAGGCAGGCAAACTGAGGATGCCTGTGTGTAGAGGGGTGAGGGGCTTGCCCAGGGTTCTGGGATCTGAACAACACGTCCTTGCCTTTAGAAAATTCAGCTGATCGTGTGTGTGGGTTTGTAGTTCATTTGCGTCTTAAACAAACCTCAGAAAGTTGCTTCCACTTGATAAGAGAAAAGCAGTAACTCAGAAAAGGCTCATTTTCTTAGATTTTGGACAACGTGCAGGCTTTTTGAAGGAAGCATTAACTTAGGTGTTTCCCTTTCTTACACAGAGCATGTTTATCGGTGGGGTGGATACGTATTAAACAGTACAGACTGGGCACCTGGGATTCTGCTCCATATGATAGTTGGGTTTGCTTTCCTCTTAAGCAATGGCTTGCAGAGTTAATCGATCGATGTGATCTGATCCGCCAGCTAAGATTTCCTTTACTGGGCACCAGCTCTTTTAATGCTCACCTGCCTGTTTGCAGTTCATCATCTCGGAGAGCGACCAGGGAGAGTCCCCGTGCCCGCTGGAGTGTCCGCAGGAGCGTGGCCGCCCCGTCTGCGCCTCTGACGGGAAGCTCTATAAATCGCTGTGCACCTTCCAGAAAGCGCGATGCCGCGACTCTTCCCTCGAAGTCCTGCCACGCTTCCGCTGCGGTGGGGCTGCCCACCGGGAACCAAACAGTAGGTAGAGACTTCACACGGAGCGCTAGCCCTGTGTCTGCGCGCGGCCAAATGCCAGAGAGTCAGAGTAACCATATCCTTCATGGTTGGGAGGAGGGAATGTCTACAAGTGCAGCTTCTCCCAGCCCGACAGCAATCTCGTGGGACAAGCTGCAGCGGCTGGAATTCCCTTTGGAGCGTGGCTCCAACGAGGACCGCAGGATCTGCCAGTGAATCCGTCCAACTGGGGGGCAGAACCCTTTCCAGCCAGAAGGCAGAGTCCATGCTGAGGGGCTGCATCCCAGAGCTGGGTGGACTGTCTGTGACCCCACTTACGGAATGTGCTCCCCAGAGAGGTCCGCCTGGCGCCGTCATTATTTGTTTTCCGGTGCCAGGCCAAGACCTTTTTATTTAAACGATATTTTAATAATTGTTGATTTTATTTATTGGTTTTAATTTTTATAGCCAGGATGAATCCAGATTTTATATGTATTATTTATATGATTGTTTATTTATGATGTTGGAAGCTGTCCCGAGGCTTATGTGTATGGGACGGCATACAAAAACTCCAAATAAATAAATAAATAAATGGCAAAAAAGTGAGACAAAATACCCCAAAGACCAGGCTATAAAGCTCTTTTTGCCTGCAGATCATCTTTAGGAGAGGCATTTAACCTCCCAGGATGCAGAAGAAATTGCGGGAAACCCAGGAAAGTACCACATAATTGGTGTTTGGGAGAAAGGGGTTGGAAATGTGGTTGTTTGGGGACCCCCAGAGGACCAAGCGCAGCCGATGGGCTAGATTGATCAGTGACAAAACAACAAAGCTTGAATTGAATTCAGAAGTGTCTTCTGATTAATTGCAATTTTTGTGAAAAGTTTGTTCCTACAGAGCAGATTTGCCTTCCCTTGTGCCCTCCAGACATGCTGGTCTACAGCTGGGGATAAGGGGGGTGGTCGTGCAGCCCACCTGGACAGTGGCCTCTTCGGAGCAGGGTGTTCTCTTTTTGGCACCCAGGATGGCAGATGCCTTTTCCACAGTGGTGCCTCCTCTCACACGCAAAGCTAACCACAGAGCACTGCGTCTTGCCCCTCGAAACTGTCTCTGTTATTCATATGCAAATTCGTGTGGATTGGATTGACAAAGATCTTTATGAATAATCTGGTAACAACCCTGCTATTAAAGCCCTACATAATTAATATTCAAACTATTCTAATTCGAATCTGTTGTTCTCTGGGAAGGCAGTTCAGCCCCAGGTTGGCTCAGCAACGGGGCCACTGAAAGGATGCGCAGAAACCTGTAATTTGCTGCATAGAAACTTCATGGATCTCAGACATATCTCTCTGTTGGACACTTTCATGCCTCAGGGACTTGAAACTTGCGCTGTAGGGAGCCAGATAAACGTGCAGCAGATAAAATAGAGCAGTGGAAGCGTTTGCTGAGTCGCATGATCCCGTGGATTTTGCCAGGGGGTGGGATCTGTGCTAATGCACATTCACACTGGAGCACACCGGTGCAGGTCAAACACCGTTCTGGGGAAAAACGTCTGATTTCGTAAGTGAGCAGATGACAACATGACAGCCCACAAAAAACAGATGGGCCAGTTTTAATGAAGCCCAAACAACCCTGGTTAAAGCAAAGGTGCGCCGGGGTGGGCGCTGTGGGAGCCAGGCAGCCTGCCGCAGAATCCGAAAAGCCAAACAAGCCGTGCATAAAAGGCGCTTTACCCAAGATGAACACTAATCCTTGGCCTGTTAGCATCAAGGAAAGATTTCCTGTTGCAGTTATAGAATGCAGGTGACACTTTCGACTAGGCCAAAATCCTGATGGTTCAAAACAGCCAAGATCACGCCAGACTGTGCAAGCTTCAGGGATCTACAGGTCTCTTCATCTGCAGCGGGTTGCTTAAAATAGGGTGGGATCTCTCTCCCCAGTTGGAGTCTGCAGATGGTAGAGGGGAGGGGAGTTGGCAAAATCGAGCAGGCCTCTGCTCGGTGCTGGGATGATTTCAGTGACCCCGTCCCAACTGGGTGCTGGGAATTGTAGTCCAACACATCTGAAGGGCACCAGTTAGGGAAGGCTGTCAGGAGTGCAGAGAGCAAGAAAGCTGCAAACAGCTTTGATCCTCCTTTTCTGAACATGTGAAACCCCACTGAAAGGCCAACGCGCCTCTCTTCCGGGTGAGCCCAACAGGGGCATCCCAACTGCATGTTGCCAAATGCTTGGAAGGGAAGGGAAGTTGTGACCCAGCAGTGGTGCTGGCAGCAGGCGGACCTCAGTGAGGAGAGCTGTGGGGCTACCGCAAGCAGGCCCTGCCCCTCCTTGCCACCCTCTGAGCCTCCCTCGAGGGAAGCGCGTGGAGGGGAGTCTCAGGCGCCAACCCCGGTGCCTGGGCAAGCTGACATGACATGTGCCTTCTGTCCGATGGTGGAGGAGAAAGAAGGACTCAGCTGCTTCCCATCATCCACCTGGAGCCCCGTCTCCAGCCGGAGGGGAACTTTTGTCACAAAGGCAAGTTGGGCTCCTGGCAGGTGGAACTTCACAAGTTCTTCTCCGGAGGCCTCAGAGAAGCAGGCAGCAGCTAGCTTTCAGGGGAGCGTGAAGTGCTCTCTGCACGTACTCAGGAGCACTCCGGTGCTGCATCCTCAGCGTTTTCACCCTGTCATCTCCTGCACAGATACCAACCTCACCCGCTGCCTGGAAGACCGAGCAGCCGCCCTCTCACAGTCCCGGCGCCAGATGCACGCGACGTACATCCCGGAATGCGCCGAAGACGGCACCTTCCTGCAGGTGACCGCTGCGTGCCCCTCCTCGGCCCCCAGGGGGGCTGCCCCTGCTCGTCCTGCCCCAGTGGGCACGTTGGGCTGGAGTGGGGTGGGGGCGGTTCTCTAACCGGCTTCAGCAAGGCCATCCCGCTTGTGGGAACAGAAAGACCATTCATGCCTGTTAAAGGGCCATTAATCTGAGTTACGGGGTTTTTCAGAGGGCCTTCGAGTCACGGGGTGGTCCTGGGTGCAGAAGCACGCGCGGCTGTGAGGTCAGGTGGAATGCGCGGGGAAGCCGAGGCTGCTCGGATCCCGCAAGGCCCGGGTGGGGAGCTGCAAGTCCCGAAAGCTTAGAAAAGCTTTTGCATTGACCTCTTAGGATGCTGCCAGGAAGAGAGGCGGTGGGGGGGGGCAGCGGCTTCAATCCTGCCAGTATTTAAGTGCTCCGGCTGATCGGCCAGGAAGCCCCCTGGTCCCTTCCCTTCGGTTACAGCTGCTGGCCCGACCATTCATCCAGGAGGGCTGCTCCTTCCTCCATGGGGACACGTGGTCTGGAGAGGGTCTCCTGATGGTTGGGCATTTCCCTGTGTTTGTGAAAAAAAGGGCGATCTACCTAGTATTTTCTCACCCCAAAGAAATCAGACCCTGCGGGTCACTCCTGGACCGTCTCTGTGCTAGTCGGGAAACTGTAAAACCCGTTTCTTGATGCTGAGCGCCAAGGACCGTGTGTTGAACGAAGGGCTTTCTGTGCATGCTCAGGCAGACCCTGGAATGCCCAGATCATGTCATATTGGTTTCTTTAAAGAGGAGGCGCCAGAGGCATGCAAGAGGAGCTAGGCCGGCATCACTGAGGGATGCTTTAGCCTGGACTCCTGCACTGAGCAGGGGCTGGGCCCGCTGGCCGGACGGGCCCTTTCCAGCCCGACTGTGCAATGATCCGGTGAGGTCGGCGAGGCCGCCTGTGCGAGGGTGCGGTGCTTGGTGGGGAAAGCCAGGGCGGGAAGGAGCAAGATGGGAGCTTCCGCTGCCTGTCCGTTCTGCATCTTTTCTGCTGACACGATGCTCTGACTGCCTTGTCACCGCCTCCCAGGTCCAGTGTCATAAACAGACGGGCTACTGCTGGTGCTCCTCACCCGAAGGCAAGCCCATCAGTGGAACCTCGGTGCTCAACGAGACCCCCAACTGCACAGGTAGCAGGTCCCCCCTCTCTCTGCCCCTTGCAGCTTGCCTTCCGGCGGGGGGTCTTGGGTGCTGCCCTGGGCATCCCCTCTCCTTGCTCAGGGAGCAGAGCGTTTTTCTGGCCCTGCTCTGTGTCTTTTTGGCAGGGGGCGCTTTCCTCGAAATAAAAATGAAGCAACAGGGCTAGGTTTCCACCTGGCCCATTTTCGGAAGCCGGGCTGTTGTTTCAGGCGCAAGAACAGGGCCAGTCAAAGAAAACGCTGACAATTCGGACTGGAGCGGGAGGGGTGTCGTGGGGGGGGGGGGGGAGCTGGTTTGCAGCCCCTTCAGACTTCCTGCTTCTTTTTCCCCGTTTCCAGGTTCCTACACAGTACGAACGTCCTGGCAAGATCCTAACTCCTCTCGGAGAGGTAAGGCTGCAGCCCACCCAGTCTGATCCTCTTTTGCACGTGCAGCCCCCTCCCCCCCGCCCATCGCTGCCTGTCCCTTTGTCAGATCCCAAGATCTCTGTCCAGTGGGACGATCGATCTAAATATCCCCACCTGGGCATTGCAGCTGCTTCAGAATCCCCTGGGAAGGGGGCTCCCTCTACAGGCAGGTGTGAAAACTGCGCTTCCCCATGGCCAGAGTTCCACAGGGACCGAAGGGTGGAAGCTGGGCCAGGACTCCTGGGTTCCGTTTCCAGCCATGGGAGCCTGGTGGGGTTGAATAGTTGGACTCCGGAGATGCACTGCCACTGGAGAGAGAGCAAAGCTGCGTCGCGTCCCCCCTTCCAAAAAACGTTCTCTGTCTTTATTAGCCATGTGGCAGGCAGAAATCCAACTGGTTTCCCCAGGGATAACCGCACCTGTGTTTGCCCAGCCCAAGGCACTGAGCCTCCGTTGGGGTGGGGGGAGAATCGGTACCAGTGGCAACCCTAGATGAAAGCCGTCCTGTATCTCTGAAGTGCTCCACTGTTTGGACAAAGTAGATGACGCTAAAACCTTTGTAATAGTTGCCTTCGACCTCTTTTCCTCCCTGAACGCAGAAGAAGGCACCAGGCCCCGGCCCACCCAGTCAAGTCCCCTGCCTCACAAGCAGGAAGGTGAGTGCGCTGCCTTGCCCCGCCCAATTCCACCTGCTCGGAAGGTGAGCGGCCTGCTCTCCGGGTGCCGCTGCCGTGGGTCCGCTCGCAGAATACAGGGCGGCCTGAGACACGGGGGTCGTAAAGACCTGTGCACAGCATTGCGACATGGGGAAACCGGACCAAATGCACGACTTAGAAAGTTAGCACCAAATAATTGATGAATCGTTTCCGAGTACAAGCCTATGCCTATTTGGACAGAAAAATGTCCTGCGATGATAGGGGCATTGGGTGCCTTTTTTTTCCTGTCCAGATGTGCATAGGACTGTGTTCTCACATTAGTAGTTTAGTTGGAATTGCAATACTTCCTCTGTGCACGCATCAGCTTTTCCCTGAGGAAAATACAGTAAAAATGTACTCTGTGCTATTTTATATTTATATGCCATTTTTTCTACCCCAGAATAGAACTCTAGGCAGTTAACAGTAAAATCCGGATTGACTATAGTATCCTAATTAAAAGATAGCAACACAGCAAAAGAATTAAAATGCATCAAGAAACACGAGTTAGCTGAAATAAGCAATTCCAACCAATAATCATTTAAAAAACCCTTTAGCAATAGACCAGCTTACATGCTAAGTGTCTTTCTGACTGAAAACGCCTTTTCCTCCTGGTGGAAGGACAGCAGTGAGGGTGCCAATCTTGCTTCGCTCAAGTGCGGCGTTCCAGAGGCAGGAGGCAGCCGCCCTTCTGCGCCTCCCGCAAGCAGCTGGTTGGCCACTGCCTGGCCAGAATGCCAGCTAGACATACCCTTGGCCTGATCCAGCGGGTCTCTTCTTGTGTTTTCATGGTCTCCAAATGCAATTGCAGCTCCCGTGCGCTTAATTCCAATCTTCCGCTTGGCAGCTTCTGCTCTGATGTGCTTCCTGTTCTGTGTGGCAAATCATCCAGCTGTAGTCTTTTAACCGAACAGAAGATGAGCAATGCTGGATCAGACCAATCCTGGGAGTTGTGGGATGCACAGGATTCCATCTTTACACATTAAAACATATATTTTAAAAGAAAATAGCAATTTAAAATCAGAAAGAAAAAAAATCTAATTGAAGCCCTTCCTTCCTGCCCAGAGAACAGGAACTTACTAATTTGGAAGCTAAAATTAATCCGCAACACAGTTGCCCAGCGGAACAGGAAGCAATGGGCATCTGTTCAGCTGGGCATTCCTCTTTTCCCCCTCTGTTTCAGCCTTCTCCAAACTGGTCCTGTGTTGGACTGCAACCAGCATCCATCATTCTGGCAGGGAATGATGGGAATTGCAGTCTAATGTACCAGACTGGGGAAGGCTGGGATAAGGGGGCTTCTCTGTGGTCCCTCCCAGGTTCTGTGACTCGCTGTTGAGAAAGGCAAAATTAGCACGCGTTTCACCTATCCTTAGCAGCCGGAGAAGGTACTTTCATTCAGAAGGGCTTTTGACATGCAAACTCAAGCAGGGCTGGTTCTAACCCAGGAGGTGCTGTGACTTCCTTCTTAGTTGTGCAGATTGCAGGGGGAGACCTACATTTTGTGTGTGACCGTAACACAACAACATGTAATTTTAACATTGTTACTCGAATTTAATTGTTAGCTGCCTTGACCGCTCATCTGAGGTGCGGCCTTTGATAATGACCGGTCATGAAATCAGCTTACAGGTTGTGGCGAGAAGCAGTCGTTCTGTGCACGGCCAGGGACACTCTTATTTTTAAAAATGATGCTGCCGTGTGTCACGTCGTGTCATGGCACTGGGAACAAATGCACAGACAGCACTGGCAGCAGAGGTTCTAGGGCTGAGCCCTGCAGCTCCGGGGTGGAGGCCCCCTTGGAGCAGAATCTGTCTCTGGAATGCTGGGTGTGGGGCGGGGATGGGTTCTGCCCCACTGGGAGACCTCGCTGTGCCGCGTCCGCAGGACTGGCAGGTCGGGGGCCGTCTCCCCGGGGTTCTGCGCTTTGCCTTAGCCAGGAGTGCATGTGAAGCAGATAGACGGATGGGAGAAAATGCCAAACAGCCCCGGGGGGGCGGTGCTCAGAGCACTGCAGGGGCCATAGTCTTCCGATCCCTTTGGAAATAACGACTGGGACAATAATCACAGAAGACGAAGCTGGCCAATTAATTCCTCCCCCAGGACACCTCAAATAAATTGAATTCTTTCGTTAAGCTGAACCTTGACCCAATTCATCTCAAACCAATGGAGGAAAAAGATCGCTCTCCCAAAGCTTAATTGCCTTGCAGGTGGAAGTTCAGCGCTTGCCAGGGCGGCAGAGTTAACTCTTTCCGCTTCCCGGTTGCAATTGGACATTGTCCCTGCGTGGCAAGTAAGCTGGTGTGGAGAGGCAGCAGCCCAGCCAAGGGATCCGTGGGGACCCCAGAACCGGCAAAAGGGGTCCAGGCAGAGGAGACTGTAGGCCCCCGTGGCCACAAGCCACGTATCTGCTCTGGTTTTACCCTGGATGTTAGAGGACCGATCCACGGAGCTGGACCTATGTGTGGGGCAGGGAGAAGCACAGCAGAGGCCTCTTCAGGGGATAACCTGGAGCTGGGGTCTCAAACTCAACTCACCTGGGGGCCGCTGGAAGTAGAGCCTGGGTGAGGCTGGGCCGCATCAAGTATTCCACCCCCGCGGTGGTGGGGGGCCGCGGGCGCCGCCGGTGCTTTGAAGGCCGCAGGGCCCCCGCCCCGTGCCCCCGTCGTCCCGGCAATTGGCCCGCGGGCCGCGAGTTTGAGACCCCTGGTCTGGAGGGATGCCGGGCACGGGCCTCACGGACCCGATCCAGCAGCGCCGCTCTTGGTGCCCCACCGCCTGTGTCTCCCCCATGTGTGTGCCCGTTTCTGTCTCCTCTCCATCCAGGGGGGACCTCTTTGCCGTTCCTGATGCCCATCATCATCCCGGACTTCAAGCCCAACCAAACGGTGAAGCAGGCGCAAGGTGAGACCCCGGCAGCTTCCGCCTCCCCAGAGCCAGCCTCAAAAGAGAGTGTGGCAGGACCTCGCAGAGGTAGGAGGGTGGGGAAGGCGGGTCCGGAGTCACGCTCCTCCCTTTTCTGCTGTGCCCACGTGCCCCATGGGCCCCCCAGCGAATGGACCGCAGCAGAACGTGAAGGAGCTCCTTGTTCACGCCAGTGCATACGACGCTTGCCAAATTCTCCGCCACACAACCAGCTCGCTCCAGATTCCGAGGGATGCCTATCGCTGATTTGGACATCGGGGCAGGGAAAGAGCAGGCCCATGGCCCGGTGGGGCCGCTCCGTAAAGGGCAGCGGATTCCCTCCAAAGCCCACACCCCCTTCTTGCCAACGCCCAGGCCTCCGTCTCCTTGGCGGGCTGCCATGCCCCCCCTCCAGCCTCCGCCCAGGTCAGCGCTAAGTAGCCCCCGGCCCCAAAGGCTCGCGCCCGCAAGCGTCTCCTTGCCTTTGCAATCCACCAGAGAAGTGCCGTTTGGCCTTCACTGAAGGAAAGGCTGCAAGGCCTTCGCTTTGCTTGGTGAAAAACAGCGGCGTGTTGAAGCTTCTCGCCCCGGAAGGTTAGATCCCGCGGCTTCGGCTCTGGGGTGGTGCGGAAAGAAAAGACATAAACGCGTGGAGTAAGAGCTGACTGTTCCGTAGCTGGCGGGGGCAGGCGGGGGGTCTGGCTGCTTTCCTCTGACTGGCGATGGACCCCTGCGCTTGCTCCCATGCAGAGTACCCCCCGTCCTGCGAGCAGGAGCGGCGCGAGGCCATCGACGAGGCTCGGCAGCACCAGCAGGAGGGCACCTTCATCCCGGAGTGCGAGGGGGACGGCACCTACAAGGCCGTGCAGTGCCACCAGGCGACCGGCTACTGCTGGTGCGTGCGGGTCGACACCGGCCGGCCTGTTCCGGGCACCTCCACCCGGTCAGTATGGAGGCCCAGTAGCCCTCCCGCGGGGCACTCCGGCGCCACCCCCTCAATCAGACCCTCTCTCAGCCCAAGAGCCAGACACGATTCCCAAGAAGCTGGGGGGCTTCATGCCAGTGGGGGGGGGGGGCAACGCCGAAAGAGGCAGGGCCAAAATGCCCGCAGTCCCAGTACACTTTCACTCGTACCGCCAGTGGCAACGCCCTTCGGGGCCCCCGAGTACAGAGGATGCTGGTATCAAAAAATTACGACATAGATGCCGAGAGGGTGGCCCTCTACAATACCAGGACTTAGAACATACCAAGGAAGGGGATCCATCAAAAGGATCCGGGGGGGAGTAACAACCTGCTGATCCACTTGGGTCTTTGGACTGATCCAGCAGCGCTGTGCAAATCCCCGAAGGAAAAGTCAGCCGGTGATTCTTACGCGTGATAGGCTAACTGAACCTCCATGTTCAGACACGGTCTACCTCTGTTGCTGGGGAGACAGAAGCAGCGCCAGAGTCAGGGGCGGGCAGCAGGGGCCCACTGACATGGGCCCCCGGGCTTTCTCCTGCTGCAAGCTGCTTGCTGACCTGCCATTCTTTCTGGCCAGCAGTGGTGGCGAGAGGAAGAACAGGAGATGCCCGGCCGGCCTGCTGGATCCCCGCAAGTGAAGGAGGTGCAGCCACCTGGAAGTGTGTTGCCCCAAAACCCAGATCCACAAGGCAGGGAGCCTCTTGCCTCTGCTTCCAAGCTTCTCGGAAGTGCCCGGCAGGGAGAAAGCTTCCCGGAAGCGCCTGGCAGTCCACAGGGAGAAAACAGGAGAGCAGTCTTTGCTCGAATCTCCCTGGAAGCTGATCTTGCCAAAGCAGGCACATGTAACAGAAATATAATCATTTCTGCCTCTTCCCAGCCTCTCACCAGATTGGCCCTTGAGAAATGCATTTCAGGGGTACTTCCCTCCCTCTTCGCTCTGTAGCGGCATCACATGCAATAAAATTGTCATCTCCATAGTGAGCTCTTGGGTTAATAATGTGGAAGTTTAATAATAATGATTAAATATAGATCGCTTGCTACCCCTTCCTCATACAGATGCTTCCTTCCAACAGGAGTTTCCCCCCAGACTGTGAGGCTGATGAGGCCACCAAAAGCGCAGAACTGGCCTCCCTTTTCCGCGATCGAACCCTGCCAGGTAGGTCCCGGGAATTTTGGGCTAGTGGTAGTTATCCCTTTGTTTAATTTTAAGCATGCCCTGATCATCTTTCTAGAAGCTGACAGAAGCCCTAGGCCGGGAGTGTAGACATGCTTCCAAGGGCCGAATTCCATATTGGGAAGCATTGGTGGGTGGGCCAAACTCATTTTAAAACCCTGCATGTTGTAGCTTCAGGCTCTTGCTGCTAGCAGTGAAGCTCCCGGACAAGCATTTCGGCTTTTTAGAATGTGGAAAAAACTGCAGAAAACGACCAAGCAGTTAATGGTCTGGAAAACAGGACGTGGACAGCCGGGGCCACCCTGGAGGGCTGGATCTGGCCCCTGGGGTCTGAGGTCCTGCACCCCCTACCTCAAAACAGAGCACCAACTGCTCTAAAAAGCAAACCGCCCTTCCTCTCTTTCCTGCCAGGTTGTCCGGGTGCAAAGAAGGCAGAGTTCCTCTCCAGTTTGATCAAAGCCTTGGCTTCGGACATGCTCCAGTCCAGAATGATGCCCATCCCGTACCAAAGGTAAGGGCTGGCAGGATGGGTGCGGACGCCGGGAAGCCCCTTCGCTCAGGCACTCCCACCCTTTCCTTCCAGGAGTTCTCAGGAAGCTGCATGCCCATTTGCTGCCCGAGATCCCCTCCCGTGCCTGTTGAGCCGGAATGACTCACTGGGCCGCCCCAGAGGTGTTTCAACAGCTTGTCACCTGGCCTGCGTGCCTGTACTGAGCCGGATGAATCCAGGTTCAACAGGCAGGACCGACTCGACTCGGAGAAACTCTGCTGCAGGCCGGCATTTTAGATCCTGGCAGGAAGCTGTAGTTCACCCTGGCTAGATATTACCTGTTCGTTACCTGCACCCATGTGGAACTTGACTGTCCAGCTATGATTCACCTGGAAGTGTGAGCTCCGAGCAAACACAGCTCAAGGCTGGGACTTCCTTTATGGAGTCGATCCATCTCATAATTGGTTTTGCTCTTCTTCGACCTGTGACTTTCCCCATCATTATTCTCATGGCCACCACATCCTGCCTCCTTGTTAGGAGTCTGAAGTCAAACAGTTTCGCTTTCTCCATGCCAGCTTCCAGGGCCCACCTTGATCTGGCTTGATTTGATCTAGGGCCCAGCTGTTCATTCTTCTGTTGCTTCAGGCTGTTCACAGAGCTCTCCTCCAGCAGCATTTTCCAAGTGCATCGGCATTAAAAAGATAAGAGGAAGTGGTGGACCTGTGAAATTCTCTTCCCAGGAGCCCCCTTCCACACCAACCCCACAGGGCGCTTCTGGCTCCAGAGCTTGTGCTTGGTATAACAGTGGTTTCCCTGTGGCTAGAGGCAGTCGCGCTCCCTCGCTTCTCCGCATGTTAGCAAACAGTCAGAACATGTGGATCTCGGGACATTTGGATTAAAGATTTATTTGAAGGCGTATAAAATCAATCAATCAATCAAGATTTATTTGAAGGTGTACTAAATAAATAAATGTCCACTCAAAAGTAATTTGGATTAAAGATTTATTTGAAGGTGTATAAAAGCAATACTCATTCATTTATTTGAAGGTGTGATTATTAAATAAATAAATAAATGTCCACGCAAAAGTAATTTGGATTAAAGATTTATTTGAAGGTATATAAAAGCAATGTTTATTTATTTATCTATAGGTGTATTTTATATTTATATTTTAATTTATATTATAATTATTTTAATTTATTGATGTGAGCCGCCCCGAGGCTTCGGCGAATGGGGCGGCATAAAAATGTTTTAATAAATAAATAAATAAATAAATAAAATTATTATTAAATAAATAAATGCCCACTCAAAAGTCATTCCTGCTGAATTACCAGCTCAATGACCAGTGCAATAGCTTGAACTTGGTTCCAAGGGTATGCCCAGGATCTTGTCTTCCCCTCCTCAGCCCCGGCTCCTAGCGAAGTCTCCCAGATGCCCCTGTTCTTGGCTTGGAGCTAGTGGGCCATCAGCCCCTTCTGGAGAAGTGCAGCTTCTGCGGAAAAGTTCCCGGGGGGCCTGTGTGTTGGTGCTGGGGAGAAGCGGGGGGGGGGGGAGACCGTGAAGCCACCCCGCGAATGAGGCAGCTGCTCTCTGCACCTTTCCCACAGGTTCCCGGACAGCTTGGTGGGCCCCAGCCTGGAGGAGCGGGCGGTCCGCTGGCAATTTGTGCGGCTCGACAAAGACTTCAGCAACAGCATCAGCGAGCGGGAGCTGCGTCCCCTGAAGCTCTACATGAAGAAGAACACCCGACCCAAGCGCTGCGTTCGCAAGTTCCTGGACTACTGCGACCTCAATGAGAACAAGCTCATCTCCCTGCATGAGCTCAAGGGCTGCCTGGGGCTGAGTTAACCCCATGGTGGGTGTCCACCTGCGCTCCTTCTCCTCACCCACCTTCCTCTTGCCCCTACTCCCAGTGCCACAGTCAGGGTCCCACATATTCCCAAGTCCTGCAGAAAAAAAATGCTTCGTAAAGGAACACAAAGCTTGCCTCCATCCTGGCGTTGTCTGTCATGATGTGCAAACCAGGAACTCTGGTTTGTTCCTTTCCTGGCAAGCCAGAAAGACAGCCGAGCAACAAACCATGGGTTATTTTCCCTGCCTTGTCAGGGGGAGAGGCAAGCCAGAGCTTCTGGTTTGTGCTTCATGATGAACCCCCAGGGATGCTTAGCTCTTACAACAATCACAACAATCCATTCACAACAGTCACAACAATCCAGGGTTTTAAAAAACAACAGTCGTGGGGCGTTGTGAGGTGGGAATCAAGCCCTTAGTCCGTAAGACCTCTGCTTATTCTGGCCTACCTGTTGCTTCAAAGAATTCCACCGGGCTGCCCCTTCTTTTTCCCCCAACATTTGCTTCCTACTTGGCTCCCTGCTCTAAGCCCCAGACTTTCCATGCACCTTCCCTTCCCTGCCCGTCACCTGGTCACCATCAAGAGCTTCGCCAGTGGGAGAGGTCGGATGAATCCTGGAACAGAGGGGTCCTCTTTCAGGGCTCCCACCCCACCCTTTGGCTCCCCCCACACATCTTCCCCACCAACAAAGGAAGACTCTGGGCATCACCTTTCTGTATGGATTAGATGTGGATTAGCTTTGTGGAACCAGGTTGCCTACAGTCGGTGCGCCCATTCTCCTGGGGAAACAGGATGAGGGTAACTCAAGACCCCTTCCCCAGCAGCTCTCCCAGCCCTGACAGCGCAAATTGATTTCTGCTAGGAGAATTGGGGAGGGAAGGAAACTCGAAACTGCTCTTCCTAATTAAAAGCCTTAAGTGTTTTGTGTGGGTCTCTGTGTTTTTGCTACCTGCTATTTAATTGTTGGTGTTTTGTATTTCCTTCTTTGCTGGTCTGAGATGCTTTGTCTCTCTTTGTGGTCCAGCTCCTCCACTCCATTCCCTACACAATTTAATTATTTGCTGGTAGCACAAACTGTTGTTGAAAAATACAAGGGAAAGCTTGTTTCCTGGAGGTGACCTCATGGGAATGGGGACCCGAGTCCCACAGGACGAAAGGGCCCCACATCTCGCTTTGGGGAACGTTAGAAACGGATTGCTGACCGAAAGGGGCTGGTTGGGGTCTCGCAGCCCACCCACGGTTTTGCTCTAAATGTGCTGCTTTCTTTTTAAAATAGCGGAAGGCTTTCTGGCTCTCCGTACATTTTGCAAAGATATAAAGATGAAAATGTTCTCGAGCTTTTCCCAATCTGTGCCCTCCAGATGCATTAGACTACAACTCCTATCAGCCCCTGAAGCCTGGCAGTTTGCCAGTATCAAAACTGCCAACAAATTTTAGCTTAAAGCTCCACTGCCGGTAACTGGGCCTTAAGGAGAAGCCTTTGAACCTTTTAGAACTGGGCGGGAAGGCAACACTCTACAAAAACTGGGAAAGGACCAATATTAGTGATGTCTTCCATCCTTTCTGAATACCTTTTAATCTAGAGGCAGTATGATACAATGGTTAGAGTGTCAGGCTAGCAATGGAGAGAAATAAATTGGTTCTCTTGATCTAACTTATTTCATATTTGTTAAGGATAAAATTAGATCAGGGAAGAATCATGACTCTCTGCCCACCTAGGTCAATCCTTTGTATGCCAAAAGGACAAAGAATGACGTGTACAAAGCTTTCCTGTCTAGTCCCCTAGGAACGGCTGTCAGCTGCCAAGGTGACTAGGCTGAAGTTGGGTGATGATGCTGGGCTTATCTTTTCTCATTTTCTTCTTCTCCTCTAAATAGACTTCACCCAGAAAGGAATGGAGCTTCCCCACTCCAGAACCCCACGGTTTGGGGTGAGGGCACTCTGTTTTTCTGAGCACTGCGTTCCCGCCTCTGATTGCAGACTCTTTGCACTTTAAAGAGACGGACTGGACTTTCTTCTGAGAAGGCTGAGGATGGCTTGGAACAGAGCGATCAACATGGAAGGGAAAGGTGGCGCATTTGCGACTGCCAGTCCACCTTCATTTTTTCCCTCTTTTTTGCTTTAAACAGGTAGCTAAGAAAAGCCTGTGATAACCGCCTACCTTTATAGATGGTTTTAAAAAATAAAAATATTTTAATCTTTGCTTTATTTTTACAATGTAATTTGTAAGGGGAAAATATGAATGTAAGGGGCTTCCTTGTTAGAGGGGTTTTAAAAAGAAGTGGCATTAACCTTTTAAGTTGCTGCCTCTATAGAAAAATGGATTTTAAAGTTGTAGCTTGTTTATTTGGATCAATAAATTAAATATATACAAGGGTGGAGTCTTGGCTATTTCTTTTCCCTGTGCAGTTTTGCATACATTGATGGCTGAAAGGCTCACTCCCACCACCCCCGGCCTACAGAGTCTGAATCAAGGCTCTGGGATATGTGCCTCTGAGCATATGCAGAGTGCCAACCCATTGCTGCTGCATGATTGCAGCTAGTCCATCCTATCTGGAATTTGAAGAAAGGGCTTGCTGCTCAGGCTGGTTTCATTAATTTAAAAGGCATCTCTCACTCTGCGTCCAATGAGGTTCCCAAGCAGTGAACAATAAAAAGAACAGCCAAAATGCTGAACTAATTTTGGAGCATTAGTTTCCCTACCTTTTGAGCTACATTGTAGAATCTATGGAATACTTAACATGGTGGAAAAGCATATGGGAAAGATCTGTATTCCTTTGAATTGGACAGTGCCATTACCAGGTGCACCTTCTACCGAAGTCTATCGGGAAGCAATAAAAGTGTCACAGGATTGTGTAAGCCAGATAGAAAGGAAGATAAGAGGACTGCAATATTTAGGAAATGTAAAATGCAAACTCCTGCGTGTTTAAACAGAGAAAAGGTTTTATAACTGCCAGGTGCCCCTGCCAGCCAGGTTGAAGCAAGAAATCCCAGCTTCACATATGGTATGGTGTGGGGAAAATCTGAGCTACCAGTGACTGACCAAGAAGCCAGTTTGGACTTGCACTGGACTGGTCGATGAAAATGGCGCCCCAGTGCGCAGATGCTGTGAAAAAGGCTAACTCCATGTTAGGCGTCATTGGGAAAGGAATTTAAAATAGAACCGCCAACAAGCTGCCCTTGTACGAACTGGTGCACCCATTCTTAGTGTACAGTGTATTGTTTGGATTGCCACACCTACAAAAGGATATTGTCGAGTTGGGGAAAAGGCAATTAAAATGCAACTCCCTTGTGAGAAATGGTTACAACATCTTGGACTGTTTGGCTTAGAAAAGAGGTGACTAAAAGGAGACATACAAGCATCAACTGCTCAACTTATGTAAGAGATCTGCTCGGAAATAATCATTTGTGTAGCATTTGGCAGCAATGCTTTGACCAGCTCTTGTACTACCTCTCCACTTCGAATGTTACTGAACATCTCGTGACATCACAGCTCCTCCGAACGGGCCAGAACAGCTGCATTTTAGTTTGTGCATGTGCACCTACTTAGATAAAACTCCAAGTGAGTTAGAAACATTCTATCTAGATTTTGTAATTGCAGGTAAGTTGGTCACATGACCCCCAGCTCTCCCTACTTCAGAGACCAACAAGAATAAACAGGGTGATTGCAAACCGCTTTGTAGAATAATGAGAGCTGAATAAATAGGGGCCTCTTTTAAGGTGCCAGAAGACACATTGTTTACATGACTGCAACCCTAATCTTTTTAAGGTACACCAGCGGGTACCGGGTGTGGTGGCTTCCAGGCCGTGTCTTCCCATATTGACCTGGCCTGTGCCTCTCCCAAGCCGGGGACAGCTGATCCTTCTGCCAGCGGCTGACCTACACCGCAGGGTCATCTTTTGAGTGAAAGGGGCCATGTTGGCGCTAATCTGTCCCTTGCTAATCTGGCGCTAATCTGTCCCTCCTGATTCAGCAGAGCGATAGTATCTCTTGTCCCTGCTCAGCCGTTCCCCGTCATAATTTCCACAGGGATTAGCATACTAGGCCCTTGGGTAGAGAACTGATCTCGTGCTGCAGCTCCCAGAATGTAGTTCCCAGCTGGAGAGCCCCTGCTACCCTGCTTCCGATTCTCTCTGTTTAGACCCCCCTCACCCTGCTTCTCCAGAAATTCGTGGAACAGTTTTGAAACCAGCCCTTCAGCAGCAAACCACAGCAGTTGGAAAGAGCAGAGTAGCTGAAGCAAGACATCTGAGATTCCCTCTTCAGTGTTGCTCTCAGTTCTCCGGAGTAGAGCGAACCCTGCTGGCGCAGAATGGCATCGGGTCAGCAGAATTTCAACGGATTTGAATTCCGGAATGGAATGCTATTAGCTTGCAAGCGAAGAGGCCAATTCTGCGTATGTCAAGACAGAAAGGGCTCCTGCATTTCGTGATTTTTTCTGTCTGCATGCATTGGGTTGCACCTGAAATACCCTCTTTTCGGACCCCTGGTGATTACTGTCTAACTTTTTAAAACTGAAAAGGTGTTCAGATGAAGCCTCCCTTTAAAACAGGCCTGCAGTTCTAATGACTGCTTGTGTTGTGAATATTTGGCAGAGCCCCTTGGGCTTATGTTTTAAGTCACGAAAGCTCAGTCAGTACGAACAAACGAAGCTGGGCATTACACAGAGCTGTCACTCCATGAAAAGCAGCTACTACCCCTGGTCCTGTGTCGTTTGGATAGCAGCTGGACATAAAGACAAAAGACCATGCTTACCTCCTGCAGAGAAAAGTCTCACCTGCAAATTCCCGAAAATCAAATGTTCCTAAAGGCAAAAGCGGCCCTACTGTGTGTGTTTGTCTGTTGGTAGTACAAGGAAAAGGTTAGGAGACCGTCAGCAGCAAAGATTTCTCAGCACCGTTGCAAAGCCTACAATTTGCAGGTTATTTTTTGAGAAAAAGCAGGATGGGGATCATGCATGAGTCTTTCTTTATCCCATGATAGCTTTAATCACCATGAGCTTAGTCATGCTTTGAAGAGCAGACAAATACTTCCATGCACCACAAAAGCTGTTTTCCCATTTTTTCACGCAGGGTTTGGTTCCCAGAAGCCCAAAGCTAAGAGGGTGCAGTCTTGGAAGCCACTTTTCTACAATACATGACATTACAGAATAAAAAGGGAAAGAACATGTTTGAGCAAGTGCAGAGTGCCTTGCCTTGGCTACCACAGCTCTCTGGCTAACGTCTGTGCAGGGGCCCTGAGTTTTCTGAAAAATGATTTCTCTAGAAGCAGTTACCAAACCGGAAGTGAAGGACGCTCTGCACATGTTAAGAGGCATCTTACCAAGCGAAGCAGTTCAGCTCTGAGGCTGAGCTTGAGCATCACTTTCAAAATGAATTAAGCACTATAAAGCCAGTCTAACTGGTGGCACGATTCCTTGGGAAGGTCGCCTTTTTCCTCTTAGCCGTTTCCCTTTTTCTTAACAGTGGCCTGGAATGCCTCTGCAAGGTTTTGCATTTGAACCAGCTCAACTCCTGTGCCCATTCACAAATAACAGAGGAAACATGAAGCCAATACAATCTTGTTTATTCAGATACCAAAATGAAAGGGGGGGTGCTCTCATGCAGGATAAATTCTGCATTTCAAAGATGAACCCCACTGAGACTTTCCTGGCTCCCTATCAGCTTCCAAGGGAAGAGAAAATGCAGATTGGAGCAGTGAGGCAGTATGGCTATCTTGGGTTTTAGTCAGAGCTTTAGAGGAGCTATTCCGGTGCTGAATCCTAGCCCCCCCCCCCCCCCCGTTGGTTCCCCCGCCGGGGACACCCCCTTTAACATTCAGGCTGCCGCCTGGGGTGGATACACTTCCCCACTGACATTGCCCATTGTTTATTACCTATACCAGAGGATGGAGAATAACTGCGTGCATCCGATCATGCAGATTCTGGTTCATCCCCTGCAGTAAATGTGGAAGTCCTGAAGGTGCCAAAGAACACTTCTGGCAACAGACAAATAACCCAGCGACTCCTCTGGAAGTCAGGGTGGTAGATATTTTAATGGCCAGGTACACCCCACTTGACAGAATAATAAACAAGGGAAGATCAGCCCCGTTTCCCAGCCTTTGGGAAGCACAGCTGACAGACAGAGCAAGCGCATACCAATCTACCGGGAATCAAGTCCCATCGAGTTCAATGGGGCTTACTTGCTCCCCACAGGAAAGTCGGCACCGGAATGCATCCTTAAGGACGGACGTCAGCAGATGGAGCGTTTCTACTCCCGCTCTTCGCTCCGTGCTAGGAAAAGCTTCACGGAGATGCCCTGCCTTGTCGGAGTGCTGTTTCACGACGCAGGAGCGGAAGGAGGGAGTAGGCGCCTGCAGCACGAACGCTCCGCGCCTTCTCCCAAACCGGCATGTCAAGCTACAGCTCCGCCCCGGGGGCGCGCCGAGCCGCCGCAGCAAGTCCAGCCAAGCAGGAGCGAGCGCTTTAAGAGGCCCGGAGCATGCGCGCTGGCAGCCAGCGGCGGGAGGGAGGCGGGGAGGGCTGGGGCTTTCTTTTTCCTCTCTGTCCGCGCCCTTTCCTATTCCGGGACAGGAGAGAGTCTGTGAGCTAGAAAGAGTCCCTCTCCCTCCGAGAGCGCAATCTGACGCGGGCGGGGCTCTGGCAACCCGGGCGAGCGGGCAGGGCGATCTCCCAGCACTGCAGGGCTACTCCCGCGTGCGAGCCGAGGAGGCTGGCTAGCTGCCTGGCTGCTGCGCCCTACCCGCTCCCCCTCCCCCCGAAAAGCTTCCCGGGGTCGGCCTGGGGGGCAGCGCCAAGGGAGCGGCCGAGCAGAGGCGGGCGCGGGCGCAGGAGCGGCAGCTGCGGGCGGTGACTGCGGACTGAGCGGCGGCGACGGCCAGCCGGGGAGCCCCATGGAACGTTGAGGCGCCGGAAAGGAACCCCCCATTGTGACGTCGCGTTCTTCGGAAGTGGAAAGTTTCTTCCCAACGTTCGAAAGGCGCGCCCGCTCGCCTTTGATCTCCTGCGCCCTCCCGAGAGCGAGCAGAGCGAGGCGAGGCAGGGAGGGACCCCCGGGCTCGAGGGAGGGGAGTTTCCTCGGCCGCCGCGAGGGAGTTGGGGTTCTTGATAACCCCCATCTTTCTTCCAAGGTGAGTGGCGGGAAGTGGGAGGGCTTGGGTCGGGGAGCATCTGTCTTCTCCGCCGGAGGCGCGTACGGCGAACGGGGCCTGCCTTTCAGGAGGGAAAAGCCTGGAAGGGGCTTCTGCGGGCCCCGATCCTGCGCGCATGGCGTGCTCCCGAGCAAATGCGTGTGCTTGAAGCGAAGCGCTCTGGGCGGTTTACGGATCCGCGCGCTCTCCCACCTGCCCAGCCGCTTGAGTTCACGGGCGGTTGAGAGAGGTGTCTTGCGAAGAGGGGCTGCCGGGGGGATTGGAGAGGTCTCGCCGGCGTGGACGCAGCCGCGGGTGACTCTCCTGAAGGCGCGTGGCGGGAGGGGATGGCTGCGGGGAGGCTCGGGGGAAGCTCCCCTGTTCCAGCCCGCCATGCCGACTTTGACAGAAAGTGCACTACGAACGCTGCCAAACGCCCCTCCCGCGCCTCTTCTCGCCGCCCGGCCGACCCACTTTCCTCGGGGTTTGCTTTTTAAAAAAACGCTGGGCGTCCTTAAAACGAGCCTTAAAGCGGGGACGGGACGGGGCGGCGGACGTGCGATGGCGGGTTTGGGGCGTCCTCACGGCACCGAGGCGCTCGAATCTGAATTGGGCGAAAGGTTCCGAAGTTCTCTGCCCGTGCGCGCGCGCGCGCTCCCGCCCGCCTCTTCTGCAAAGAGCTTCTGCTCGGCTTCGGAAGGAGGCGATCGTGTGTGCGCGGCCATGCGTGCGCCTGGCGTGTCTCCTCCTAACGTGAGCGACCTCGCAGGGGTGGGATCTGGCGTTTGAATTAAAACTGCCATCTAGACAGGAACAAGCGGGCAGCGCTCCTGCGGCGGCAGCAGACGCGTGTTCGGTTTCCGGAAGCGGAGTTCACACTGCCCGTAGAGGTGGGTGGGACGAGGCTGGGGGCGCTTGAGCGAGCAAAGGGACTTCCTACAAGTTGTGACTGGGGGTTTTTCCCGGTTGTGGGGTCCGCCCCCTCTTTTTTTCCTAGATAGGGAAGAACCTCGCAGGATCCCCCCCCCACATTTATTTTAAGTCGCATTGCTTGTTTTCCACGCCATAGCGTCGAATCTGTCGCTGTTTGAGACCTGCGCGGGGTGGGGGGAGGAGAATAGCATTTATTTAGGTTTTCCTGTGAGGGGGTTGACACCCCTTCCACGGATCTGAGCGTCCCCACACACAACACCCCACCCCTCCCCACCCCTCCCCACCCCACCCCACCCCACTCCACTCCACTCTTGTTGCTACAGCTGCAACTTCTAGACCGAAGACACGAGGTTTCTGCTCTTGTCAGGGTGCCCTTTGGTCTCTCCCCGCCCCCACAGCCGTGGTTATTTAAAAAAAAAGTTTGAGTTTTCTCAGTTCAGTGGCAGGGTGGGGGATTAAAGCAAGATGGAAATTAGTGTGAAGTCGTTTTTAAGTGTTTCCATCCAGTATTTGATTCTTTTCCGTATCATCCTGCCAAAGAAATATGTGTGTGTGTGGGGGGGTGGCGGCCGGCTTTTTGGAGGCTGCCATTTTGAAACTGTGAAAAAGTTGTCTAGTTTTTAGTTCTGGCTTAAGTCTGAGACACTGACAGGGTTACATGGCTGTGGACACGTTTGAGAGAGAGAGAGAGAGAGAATGTGACTTCCACAATGGTGCAAAGGCTGAATGTGTCCTCTCTCTCTCTGCATGTGTGCGTGTGTGTGCGTGTGTTTAAAAAATTAGAATTTTGTTACTTGTCCCTCAACTAGAAGAAGCCCACACTTTCTGCTGTGCTTTTTGCTATCTTTCTTCCCTGCCTCCACCCTCTTTCACTTTTGGCTGAAATAAAGCTACACATCTGGAAAATGAGTAAGGGATGAAAATAAACTCAGTGACTCTATTCCAGAGTGGGGTATAAATCAGTAAAGTGGGTGAGGAGTTGTCAGAGTGGTGTGTGTGTGTCTCGGGGGGGGGGGGGAGCATACCCCACTCTTAACTTGTTCAGTGGCTGAGCCTAACTAAGCGTGCAGGCATGAAATTAAATTCCTGATCCGAAAGGAATGGCGTCTGTGACTAGCAAATGTGTCAGGAATGCCTCGAGTCTGGGTAAACTTGAATCTGACCTTCAAACTTGACTGAACTTTTTTTCTTGTTCAGATCATTTGATACTGGCTTTAATTAGTGTCAGAAAGAGAACGAGAGATTGAAACGGAAGGTCACTTTCTTCTTGGCTTTGCCCTCCAACCTAGCTGTTGAAAGAAATAGAGGGAGAGTAAAGATATTGCAAGGGGTTTCAAATCAGGGCCTCTGAGGACACTGCTGGGCCCTTTAAGACGTTTTAGAATGAAATGTGCTGCAGTGCTTCCTCACTGAGAACCAGTGTGATGTGGAGACAAGAGGCGGGTGGAGTCCTGAGTTCAGACTCCTGCTCAGGCCATGAAACTCTGGGGCCAAGCTCTTTCTTGCTCAGCCTCCCCGCCTTGCAAGAGTTGTAGAGAAATTGTGGCCTGGGAGATCGTGCCCCTTCCCTTTTTTCTCTCCCTTGCTGGAAAGGGGGCTTTCTTCCAGGGGTCCTAAGAGTTTCCCCTAATTTGGGGTTGGGAAGGATCAGGGAGGACAGCCAGACCTCCTCCTCCTAATTCCCAAGCCCATTGTGCCTGGCCATGTCGGGTTTCAGAGAGTGCTGGCGAACAAGCGCCACCCTCCGTCGGAGGACCTGGCAGGGCCTTGGGCGAGGTGCTGGCTGCCATCCAGGGACAGGGAAGTAGACGGACGGACTTTTCTGCTGAAATCGACAAGACATGGAGGGCCCCCGCCTGCCTGCGGTTTGTACCCTCTGCCCCTCAGCCTCACTTTTCCCTGTCAGCACAATGGGAAATTACCATGTACCAAAGGGTGGTTGTGAGGGCAAGTGCAATACAAATCCTCAGTATCCATCCGATGAAGGAGCAGTATAAATCTAATGGGGCAGGAAGAAAGCAAGCGGTGGTTTGCTTCTGTCTGAGCTGGTGGAGCACCCAGGCCTGCTGTCGGTGCCCTTTTGGGAAAGCCGTCTATTTCGGCTTGCCTTCTAGAGGGGAGGTTCGAGGAACGAACGGGGTGGCGTTTGGACGGGAGCCGCAGGGATGAGTGAAGGTCACCCAGGCCGGAGTCAGTCCCTCTCCTTGAAGAATCATGGGAATGGATTCCGTTCCATCTCTTCTCCACAGACCAGTCTCACGAATTCCCCGGAAGGTGGCTGGAAGCAGCTTGATACACTTGGCCCTAAAAATCAAAGGGGTGGGAATGAGATGTTCTGTTCCCACAGCGGCCACCCGGATGCCCAAAGCAGGACGTAAGTGTGGCAGCACTGCCCACTCTGAAACCAGAGGTGGCACGTTGCCACTAAAGGCCTGTGCCACGGGGCACTTTGGAGACACCTGCCCCACGAGAGGTGACAGGTGCGCCCTGCACTGCCTTCCCTTCCACTACTGCTCCCAGGCCTTGAGGTGCAAGCAAAAACCAGCAGAGGTTAACAGTCAGTACTAGAGTCTCAGAACGTCCCATTTCAATTCCTCTTTTTATACCAAAGGTATTTCTAGACCTTGTTACTGGGAAATGTTTTATTCCGGCTCTAGAAGTCTGATTTAGGGATTTGAGTGGGGGATGGATGGGTGGCTTCCTGGCCTTCCGGTGCCTCCTGCACCGGAGCAGAAGGTTGACTCATGGTGTCAAATAAGCAGTTTCCAGGGTGTGTGTGAGATCAGTGCAGATTTCTGCTGAACACAGAGTGCCCACAGCCGGGGCTTATCTCGTGGCCTGGCGGAATTTTGCAGCTGGGCAGATCACTTCAGGCAGCGCTTGGCTCCGCAAGGCTTCCTGCAGAGGCTGGTTGGCCGGGATAGGGATGGTGGGAGGCCAGGAAGCGGGGGGCTGAGGGTGGGGTCTGCGAGGCGGTCCCGGAGGCAGCTGGGGACTTGTCGATACAAAAAAGGAAGTGGTTTGGAGACGACTCAGAAGCGTGCGGTTCAAGGTAAGGCGCAGCTGACTCGAGAGGGCCAGGCAGGGCGTTAAAGGTGAGCGTGGCCACGAGGCTGCCTTCTGGCTTCTCGGGCACCAACTTCTATCAGCCCCAGCAGTGGGGGATGACTAGGAGCTGTAGCCCAAGACTTCTGGAGGGCACTGGGTGGAGAGAGGTGGCACAAAATCCATTTCGGCACCAGGCCAACCCATTTTTATTTTCACATTATTTTAACTGTTAATAGTGTTTTAAGACTGGATTTTATTTATTGCAATTTTGATGCTGTGTCTTATTTATTTTATTGTGTTACCATCCTGAGGCATTGTGAAGGGCGGGATATAAAAGCTTCACATAAGAAATAAATAAATTCCCAACCTGACACCCTCCAGGTGTGTTGACTGCCTCCCCCATTGTTTCCAGCCAGATGGGTTGGGGATGCTGGAGTTTTAGTTTGGCACATCTGGGGGGGGGGGTAGCGGATGAAGAAGATGCAACGATGGTCTCTGACAGCCACCCAGATCTCCCTTTATGTTCTTGTTTGACAGCTATTAGTGTTGCACTGCACCTGCCGGTGCTCCTAGCCTTCAGAACAATTACTGGACGAGCTTCAAGCTCGTGGCTTGAAGAAACCAACTTTTCCTGTTGTCAGAGCACTTCCTTCCTGGTTGCCTAGAGGGGGTTTGTGTATTTACCGGAGGAGACCAAGCTGAGGGCTGCTTGCAGGTCTTGTCTGGCATGGGTTGCCTCCCTGAGTGGCCAGGATCCGCTGGGTACAAGAAGTCCCTCTCCAAGTGGGAGGGACGTGGAGGTTGCGTTGGCCAAAGGAGGCCGTCGCTAGAGGGATTCTTCCTCAAGCTGCCTGGTGGGAGAGCCAGAAGTGATGCACGGAAGGCCTCCTTCACCCTGAATATACTTAAGCCATGACACCTGCTGCCACAAAGTGCGGAGTGGGGACCCATAGGTCAGCCCCCCTGCAGAAGTTCCCTGGTTCAGTCTCTGGAGGGCAAAAAAAACTCCTCCTGAATTAAAGCCCGCAGAGCAGCTGCCAGTCAGCGTTGGCAGTACTGGCTCTGTGGTCGAACTCCATAGAAGGCAGCTCCTTAGCTTCCCAAGATGTAAGGATGGCCTACCACCTGGGATGCCTTTCAAAGAAGCGTTCATGGAGGATTCGGCTCTCCGTGGCTCCCAGTCCTGTTGGCTCTAAGTTCCTTCCAGGATCAGAGGCAGCCTGCCTGTGTGCATCAGTTGTTGGGGAACATGGGTGGGAGAGTTGCTGGTGCTCTCTTCTCCCGCTGGAGGATTTCTCCCTGGGCAGCTGGTGGGCCACTGTGTGGGCTAGGAGGACCTTGGCCTGATCCAGCAGGGCGCTCCTTCCAGTCGTGCCTTGGCTTGAGGTGGGAGGCAGTCGTGGGCCCGAGTGAGAGCTTCCAAGGGGACGCTTCCAAAATGGCTACTCCATTGCCAAGTTCTTCTTTCATCCCTGCGCTCATCATAAACCTGAACATGGGAACGGGGTGGAGGTGTTAGGCTGAAGCTGGTGAAGGAGACTGCATGGTAATTTCTGTGTTCTCCACCCCACCCCACCCCACCCCCTTTCCCACCCGCATTCAGCCTTGTATGGACTGTGGTGCTTGCCCGCAGCCATGGGGAAGATGCTGTCCAAGATCTTCGGCAACAAGGAGATGCGGATCTTGATGCTGGGCCTGGATGCTGCTGGGAAGACGACCATCCTCTACAAGCTGAAGCTGGGGCAGCCGGTGACCACCATCCCCACGGTGGGCTTCAACGTAGAGACGGTGACCTACAAGAACGTCAAGTTCAATGTCTGGGATGTCGGGGGTCAGGACAAGATCCGCCCCCTCTGGAGACACTACTACACCGGCACCCAAGGGTTGATTTTCGTAGTGGACTGCGCCGACCGCGACCGTATCGACGAAGGCCGGCAAGAGCTTCACCGCATCATCAACGACCGGGAGATGCGGGACGCCATTATCCTCGTCTTTGCCAACAAGCAGGACCTCCCCGATGCCATGAAACCCCACGAGATCCAGGAGAAACTGGGGCTCACGCGCATTAGGGACAGGAATTGGTACGTCCAGCCGTCTTGTGCTACGTCAGGAGAAGGACTTTATGAAGGTTTAATGTGGCTTACTTCCAACTACAAATCATAATTCTAGGGCAATATAGAGCTCTCTAATTTGCGCGCACACAAGAATCTCTAACCAATGAACCCCTAGAGCATCTCTTCTCTTCTGGCTTCCCCCTCTCTCCTCCTCAATCCTCTTTTTGTGCTCTTGCGAAGTGAGAAGTTGTACTGGCAAAGGCTCAGATGGGAAACGACTTGTCCACCAGGCAAGCTCTTTGCTTCCTTCTGGGTGCCTTTGATCGATGCTGAGGTGGGGGAGAGGTGAGGGGTGGGCGTTTGGCCGCAGCCCTCTAGATGCAGGCCTCCTCGGAGTGCTCGAGTGGCATTCCTCCAGTCTTTTTATTTCCCCCCCGCCCCCCAGCCTGGTGGTTCTCCAAACTGTGGTGTGGCACCGAGAGGGTAACACTCGTTTGGAGGAAGTTGGTTGAACTGGTGGTGATGGCATTGCCGTTGGGCGATTCCAAGCTGGTGGGGGTAGTTTGACTTGGGGAGTTCTGCCCTGGTTTTAGGCTCTGTAAGAGTGAGAAATTCTGCATTCTAGAGGCCAGCTCTTGGATTCTGGATTGAGTTCAGAGGGCCCACCTGAAAGTCATGTGAGGGGCTGGGGAAGAGAACCCCCCCGGCAAATCACTCGCTCTTGACTGTACCACCTTGGAGGGCAGTGGGGGCAGTTGACTGGCACCTGCAGACCTCACCCCATAATGCCTTCGTGGGGAATGCTTGGTCTGCCGCCTCTCCTCTCTCTCTTGACCTGTTCAACCTGCTGAGGTTACCTGTCTGGAGGAGGCAAAGCCGTGCCCGCCCAGCGACCAGCCAAACCAGTTCTCCCAGCACCGCGAGGCGGGTGGAATCGAAGGAACCATTAATCAGAGGTTCCGCTGGCTCCCTCTTCCCAAATCCTTGCCAAGTATCTTGGCAGGTTGCCCCACCCACTTAAAAAATTAGGGGCAGATGGCGGGGTCTGAAGAGGTCCAGCTCCTGGGTTAGTGCTTGGCTTTGCGAAGGCTGAGTTGGCTTCCTCCCGTCTCATTCCTGGCATGACTGAACCAACCTGCTTTGCTTTTCTGTGTGCAGCCCCTTCCCTCTTTTACAGAGCACATTTTCTTGGAGGCAAAAAAGATCCCCCCTTTCCTTCTGGCCGGTGACTTTGGCCTCCTCAGTTCCCCATCTGCGCCTACAGAGTTAGCCCACCAAGTTTCCCATCTAACGCAGGCATCACGACCCCGACACTCTGTGCTATCCGTTTCCGTGGCTGACACCTAAGGTCAGCTTCGACCGACCGGTGGAGGCCAAGCCCAGACCCTGGAATTAAGTTCTCGTAGCCTGTGTGTACTCGTGTGTGTGCTGGGGAGGAAACACCCTGCTGACTCCACTTTAAACAGTGGGATTGGGTGTGTTGCAAGCCGTGGATCAAACTGATCCTGTTATGATCCAGTGGGCCATACGCCTGGTTTTCAGAACCTCAGATGGAGCAAGATCCAAGGTGTGGACCAAAGAGTTGCTTTCCTGCAGAGAGGCAGTCGGGGGATTTTGCCTCCCTCCGCACTTCTGCTGTTGCCAGGGATTCCCCGCTGTTTGTTTTCCTGGCTTGAGGTGAATTGTTAAGAAGCAGTGATCAATTTGGGGTTAAGAAGCAGTGACCAATTTGGGGTAAGGTCTCTCCTTATTCTCGGCCACCCTGGCAGAGAAGATGCTGCACCGCTACCCCCAGCCCCCCCTCCAAATCACCGAGTTGTATGAGTGTGCTAATCCTTTTCCTTCAGTGTGAGTGATCTACTCAGGGAGTCTTTGTTCTTTCCCTCCCCCTTTCCTGGCCCTTCCGTAAAAACACTGTTCTTTGATGAATTTGGTAAACTTGGGCTTGGATCGTGCCAACAGGGACAGCCCTCCGTTGCTGCTACCGATGGCGGGATGGGAGCCCCGCCACCCTTCCGAGCCAAACGGGTCGCTTTCCTCCTGTCACTGAGGCACTCGGTGAGGGAAGCCCCACAAGGAGGTCCTTGGGTCGGGGGCTCCGTGGTCCCGCAGCACATGCACTGGTGGTCCGACCAGATGCATGGAATCGGCCAGCTTCCTGGGAATACCTCCTCATTCATCAGGACGGGAGCAAAGTCTGGGCCTCCACGGGAAATCGCGGCCTGCCCGGTGTCTCGGCTGCACGCCCCCCTGTTTGTCCTCGGTGCTCTGGGGAAGGGCCCACGGCTGCCCCGCAAGCCGTCCAGGCCTGTCCGCTCCGCTTTCCCTCCGGCACACCCTGCCTGCAGCCAAGTTCCCCCTCCCTGGGCGTGCTCCTTGAAGAGGGGATGACTCATAACTCCCACAAAGCGGGTTCTCTCCCCCACCCCACCCCACCCCACCCCGCAGTGCAGGGAGTGACTGCAGCTTTTCTTCTGTCCCTCCCTCCGGCGTGGGCTGGCCTGAAGCAGCAGCCTCGGCTGCCTCCCCCTCGGCCGGCTGGAGGAGCCCCCCACAGTCCCCACCTGTGGCTTTGATGCACCCGGGACCAAGAGGCCACGCGATGCTCAGACCTGGCGCTGCCGGAAGCGAGGGCTCTGCGTCTGGCTGGCCGCCGCTGTTTGTGCGGCTTGTTTCCTTTCCGGCGCCCACCTCTCCGCTCTGCAACGCCAGGCAGGACCTTTGCGCTCCAGCAAAGGTGGGACCAACGCCCCCCCCCCGCCCTTGAACAGGTGTCATAAAGTGCTGTCTTCCCCAGCCTGCAAGGCAGGGTTGTGTAGGGATGATGGGAGATGTAGTGAAGCACAACCGGGGTGGGGGGCATCCAGCTGGGGAAGAGCCAGGCCATATAAATGTTTGCTTCCCATTTGCTGCCCAAATGATGCCACAGTCGGGTTGTTTGGGGGGGGGGGTTGTAAGTGCACAAGGAATAAACCTCCCTCAGCCACCGTGCCCTGTATTCTTTTCCTGGGGGTCGGATGGGCGGGGGGGGGCTCCAGAAGCATTCCTCCTGTACCTGCTCTCCATACTCCCCTTCCCAAATTAACCTGCTGCTGGAACTGAGCAGGTTCAGTTCCACATCCTGCTTGCTGACATTCCAACAGATCTGCTTTGCTTTTGGGAATCCGGGGAGTGAAACGAGAGTGCATTAAAGTCAGGTGACCACCATCTGCTTGGCGTTCGGGATAATCCAATTTACGCCAGGCAGAATGTGCCTGACACGCCATCCTGGCAACTCACAGGGATGTGGATTCAGGCTGGGGAGGGGTGGATTAAAGCTCGGTCCTTCTGGCCTCTTCTCATTCTTTTGCACCTCTTCCCTGGCACAGCCAGAAACTCAGCTTTGGGCTCTTTTCCTCCACCGTTTCGGTTGGCTTACCAACTTCCAGATGAATTATTTTTTGTACCCCAATGTCCTGGAGATCAAACCACCCAAAACACACACACACATTAAAATCTTAACACAAGGCATCGTGGGGAATTTAGGGAAGACTTCCTGCCTATATGGCGCCCTCCACTTGTGCTGGACCACAAGTCCCATAATCCCCCAGCCAGCATTTCGTGGCTGCTGAGGGGATCACAGGGGCTGCAGTCCACACACCTGGAAGGCACCAGGTTGATCACAGCTGGGCCTCTGACCAGCCAGAATGGGTCGATCATGCCTTAGTTGGGAAGTGAACACGGGGGCTTCTCACTTGAATGTGTCTTGTGCACTTGAGTCCCCCTGGCTGGGATGTCGGATCCCGGGGCACTGAACGGAGCACTTACTCTCCTCTGAAGGCCCGTGCTTGGGTGGGCGGGTGGCCAGCCTCCTTTGACTCACGCTCAGATGGCCCCCCAGTGAGGGCGTCCTTCATTTCCTCTCCAGGGCAGGGGCGAGAAGGGAGATGTGTGTGAGAAGAAGTGGGTTTCCCCCCTTTGTGCCTTTGATAAGGGCTTCTCTCAGTTACATAAAGGAAGAACAAGGTACTTTTGTAAGCAAATTTGCAGCTGGCTAACTGGAATACAGTGTTGTTATTTTTTAAGTTATGTTTCTTTCTCCCCTGGCTAGAGCAAAATGAGGGGAGTGTTTATTGAATGCTGATCTTCATATGCAAATGTACTGTACATTTAACGCTGGAATTTCTTTAGAATCTTATTTTTTTCCATGGAGGGGACATTCAAACATTTCTTGTTGTTATGGGTGCCTGGGTTTCGGGGGAGGGGAAACCCCTTATCTTTACAAACAAGGGCTCAATTCAGTGAACTTTTTTTAAAGAAAATAAAAATAAATGATTTTTCTTTCTAATTTCATGAAAATGAAGTGTGTTTTTCAAAGGGGGAAAATATCGCTGTGATGTATCAGCCTTGCAGGTGATTTTCCAGAATTTGCTAATCCCAAGTTCGTATAAGCCCAGGCTAGTTATTTCTGGCCCCGGAGAAAGACTAGTAAACAGCTTTCTTGTAGTTGCCCAGAGATGCCTCCAGCTCTCCATAGGTGCCCAGGTGAGTAGTGATTACAAACCAAATAGATGTGTTTATTATCCAAATGTCGCTACAATGGCAGCTGTTTCTGTAACTTTGAATTCTGAAGACAGGGCTGGATTTTTCCTTTTCTTTTTATCTCAAATGGCTGCTTGAAAGGCTGACTTTCACAATGCAAGTAGAGTGTTCCCCTTCTTCTCTGCCGCTTCCCTTCCTCTTACTTCCCTCTCCTCTGTTTATCAATGGCCTAGTTATTCCCCTACTACAGTTTGATTTCTCAGTCCCTAGATTGTTTCCCTCTGGCTTTGCCCGCTCTCTCACTGCACCCCAAATATTAATACTGGTATACAGAGGAGCTGTTTCTTTGCTGCTTGTATTTTTTCATGCCTCTTACCTGCAGTGTTTCTAGCCTGATAAAAATGCCCTATGAGGAACCCACAGTTCTGGCCTTGCATGAAACAACAGTCCATGTTCAAAGAACCCAGAGTTCGCAACCCAACAAACCATGGGTTGTCTTTCTGGCTAACAAACCATGGGTTCTTAGCACGGCTGAGTTCACACAATACAAAACCCAGAATTCAACCTATACCATGCTTTGCTGTGAGGTGCCAATCCACTCCGTGACTCTACCCCTAAGGACCAGAACTGTGGTGAGGAATTACTCCTCTGTTGAGACCTACCTTTTCTCAGGGGTAATTTGTTGAGGAAGGTTGTTGGCAAATGAGCAACAGTTTCTGCCTCCTTTTTGTTCTCCCCGACACCTGGCAAACAGCCTGGGAAGAAATAGGATTGCTTTTGCTAGAGTCTGCTGGAAAATTGTCTGAAAGCTGCTGCCTTTACCTAGCTCTAAACCAGAACCTTTCTTTTTCAGTTGCTAATTCTCATCCAGCACTTGTGCTAATTTTGGAACCACGGGGTATCCATTGCTGCCCTAACCTTTGTTTCCTTAATCTGAGTAGTTTCTTTTTCTGTCAGAGAAGAGTTGGTTCTGTCTCACTTGGGGTGGGTGAGGCCTGGCTTTTCCTATGATGTAAGCTGCTCGAAACATCTGCATTTCAGCCTTTTCTAGTTCCTCTTACTTAAGGGCGAAGCACGCGGTGACTTAGACCCCACCCCACTGGTGGAGCATGCATGTGGGGAAGACATGTGGCTATCCGTGGGTTTCATTTCCCTTTTTGCCGTCTTTGCTGCTGGGAGTAGCGATGCTCATCCTTCAGTGCGGAGGTGGAGAGAAGGCCACTGTTGGCAGACGTCTGAGCAAATTGCAGCTGAATGATCTGCATTCTGACGCTGCAATATTTTAACTCTACCAGCAAGAGTAGGGTAGGGTTTATCTCTCCTAAATGAGGTTGCTGAAACCAGTCCTTGGGGAAAACGAGATGCAGATGTATTTGGGATCGACACACTCCAGTGCGATACAACAACTTCCTAGGCTGAGCATCTGTTCGGAGAGGCACCCTGTTCTTTAATGGAAAGGGCATGTCTTTGACACCGCTTCCCCCTGGCCCCTCAGTGCCCCAGCTTCATACCTGGAGTATCTATTGAAAAACCAGTAGATAAGTTGGAGGAGGAGATGTAAGCTGCCTTGAGCCATTTGTAGGAAAAAGGCAGGATATAAATTGATAAAATAAAAATAAAATAATAATGGTGATAATTATTATTACGTGTCTATACCACCCGTAGCCAACGCTCTCTGGGCAGTTCATAGAAACATAGAAACCGAGCGAGTCAGAAGGGGTCTCCCGGGCCATCTAGTCTGACCTCCGGCACCAGCCGGCTCCGCTCACGCCATGCCCACCATGTGCACGTCCAGCTCACAACATTTTAAGTCACCCATGCAGATTTCAGCCAGGCTCAGCCCCGCTTAGATTGGGCAGGATCAGGCCCCTCAGATCAGAACATTCAAAACTAGGAGAGCAGCAGCATTTGACCGGTGTACTGCTTCCAACAGAGGAGGGCGAATGCTGCCACCATGGCTAAGAACCGGGGTGGTGTCTTCCTTTGGAAATGCATCTCGGCCCCTTTGAAAGACCAATGCTGTGTAATAGGATTTTTTCCTCTCCAAAGCTGCTTTCAGGAAATTGCAGCCGACTGCAGAAAGGTCCAGGCCTCTGCACCGGCCATCCCCAACCCGATGACCTAGAAATGTGTTGGCCTGCAACTCCCATCATCCCCAGCCAGCATGGGTGCTGCAGTCCAAAGCATCTGGAGGGTGCTGGGTTCCTGTCCCTGCCTGGCTTTTTGCGTCAGTCCTTCCAGCCAGAGGGGTGGCTGCAGTGTGCGCCTCTCGGCTAGCCGGCACTCCAAAACGAGCCGTCCGTTTGCCGACAGGAGCCGGGGCGCCCCAGCGGAGGACTGCCGGGCTGCCAAAGGCCTCGCCCAGCGCAGCGCCGCGACACCCGCCATTGTGCGACGCAGGGGGGCTTCGGCTCGCGGGACGGAGCAGCCCCCCGCTTTGAACAGAGCAGCCCGCGCCGTACGACGCCTTGTGCCCCAGCGGGTGCGCCTTTGTCACCTGCAGGTGTGCGGGGCTGGTTTTGCGGGCCCTGCGGCGCCATCGGCAACACCCCTGGGGCTTCCGCGCGTGCTTTTCCTGCCTTTCAACAGGCAGAAATCCCACAGGTCGCGCGCTCGGCGTGGCTGCGTCTCTGTGCTGCGGACGGGCATCTCGGTCTAACTGCTGCCAATCGAGCAGCTTAAAAAACAACCCTCTCTCCAGGCTACTTTTCTACTTTCCCGAAAAGGGGGCAACTTTCCACCCCATTTGCAGCCCAAGCCGCACCGTTCGCAGTGCTGTTGCCTCCGTGGCCAACGTGTCGGTTGGCCCTGTGTGAGAGCATCACCGTGGACAAGCCCCTTCTAGGACTGCCGGACCCTCCTGGTGGGAGGTTTCTCTAAGCTATGGAAGTCTTCCCACAAGCTACAGTGGTAGCCCCTTAGACGGCCCACCTGCCTGCTCCCATTTCAGAGCTGATAGCTGGAGGGTGATCCAGAAGCAGGGAGCCCACAGGTAGCTACGGAGGACCCGACGGGGAGGTTTGTCGCTGTTGTACCTGCTTGTGGACTTCCTGTGAGTAGCGGCGGGAGATATGGGATGCTGGGCCGCAGCCTGGCTCCGTTTAAGGGATCCTCGGGAAGCTGGAACCCATCTTACATGAACAGGCCAGCATTTTTGATATCCCACAAGGCATTTCTGTGGTAGCTCCCGGGGATTGTGGGTATTTTTAAATAGGCAACTTCCCAGGCGGCTGAAAGCAAAGGGCTTCGCTGGGTGTCGTGCACCGACATAGCCCTTTGGTCTCATCCGGCAGGGCTGCTCTGATGTTTATTGTACTTCCGTTTGTCTTACTCCCTGACAAAGGTTCAGAAATGGGAGCAAGAATGTGGATGAACTTTGCTGCTCCGAGCACATGATTCAGTGCAAGGTGGGAGGTGTTGGTGACGCGAGCTGTTCCCTCCAGCAGGCCTCTCGTGCTTTTCCCAGGAGAGCGCTAAGGTGTGAGCAGCAGAGACAAAATACTTCCAGATTAGACGGTATCGCCCTCCTTTTCTCTCCCAGGGCAACTTCCCAAATTAAAAGTGCCACAAAACCATAAAATTCACACGAGGTGGGATCATCATTATACACTGATTCGGGACCAGTGTTGGGTCCCCGCACTTTTCCACGGGCCCCCAGATCGGCCTGGTGAAGAACTCCCCCCTCCATATGGGGGGTGTGCACCTTGTCTTAATGCAAAACCGCTGTCCCACAGAGCTTCCAGGATGATGGGAGTTGTAGTGCAACCCATCTGGGGCATGCCGGGTTTATCCACGATTTCCTCCACATCAAGCTGTAATAGAATAGCTATCAGCGAAACTAGAACGCTTCTTCCTCGCACAGCCAGATTGCCGCTGAAATTCAGCAGCAGTTTGGCAGAGGCGAAGCTTGGGGAGGAGGGGGCACCGTGGCGGCCTCCCCAGTGGGTTGTGGCATACAGAAGTTGGCTCAAAAGCTTCTGGAGCTGCCTGCGTCTCGATGACACAGAGCAAGGCAACAGGAAATGGCAGAAGAGAAATAGAACCAGATTTGAAATGGCCGATGAAAAGCCAAGCATGACATAACTGCTTAAAACTGGGAAACTGAACGGCGTTTTCAAGCAAGAAGGGGGTGAGCCCGCCCCGTGGCCAGTGGCCAGTTCTCCGGTTCATTCCACAGCCACGGTGCCACGGCTGAAAACCGCTCCGAAAGCCCGGGTCCCCGCTTTTCTGTTCTCTGTGCTTCCGTAGCCCACCTGAGCCGGCCGGGAAAGCGTGCAAGCGAGCTGGCCGACCTTGAGTTCGCCTGGCCCAGAGCTCTCCAGGCCAGAAATGGATACTGTACACGTCTCTGTTGGACCATGACCCTTTCGCTTTGCTCAGGAAGAGAAATCCAACTGTAGCCCATGACCCGTTCGGTGGTGTGTTCACAGAATGTAACATTTGGAAGCCTTGGGTGCTGCGGGGTTAACTGTTTTTTAAAGGGGTGGGGGATACCAGCAAGGTACGCAGGACCCCGTGCCCCCAGCTCTGTGCTGGATTCTGCACCTCCAGGCCTTCGTGTTCCTCCAACGTCACCCTGAGCGGTGCGTCTGTTTAAAACATCTCTTAAATGTCAAGCGTTCCTGCCCACCAGCTCCCTCCCCCCAGCCTCTCTTTTGTCTCGGAAGCCTTCTTCATCAGCGGAGGAGGAAATCTTCACACCCAGCGTGTGCCCTGCTGCCAGCGAAGATTCAAGGTCTCTGTGGAAACTGAATCATGCTCGTGGGAGAAAAAGCTGCACTTTTCTCCCTGGGAAAACAAGGCAGC